AAGTGATTAATTACCCGCCTGGCACTTAGTTAAGGGGTTTTATCCCCTCCCTAACTTCAGGGGAAATTCCCTACCTGGGGAAACAACCTTTCTCAGAGAGGTGACCTTAGTTAAAACACATAGCGCCGAGAAGGTGAGCAAACATATTAAGAACAGTATTCAATATATGCCAGGTCCCTTGAAACAGCAAGAATGGACCGGCTCCCGGCACTAAACCAGCTTAAATCCTATATCATTGGCTGTATTGTAAGAGCGCTCTAAGTCAGCGGTTGCCAACCAGTGGTCCATGAGGTCTGAAAGGTTGGCAACCGCCGGTTTAAGGAAACCTTTGGAGCAGCGGTCACCAACTGGTGGTCCGCGGGCCTCTGGTGTTCCATGAGGTCTGAAAGGTTGGCGACCGCTGCTCTGTGTCATCCATCTGTATTCATTTTGATTTGATGTGGCTGGCACGGGTCTGAAATTCAGTGCTGTCAGCCCTGCAGGTGTCACCCCTCAGGCCTCTGGGGCCATCGGGATCTCTACTGTGGACAGGCCTGTGGTTCCCGGAGAGATGGGGTCACCCCGTCTTGCAGCCCCTGGGGCGAGTCAGCTGAGAAGGCCCCGAGTGAAACCGGGCCAAGGCCTGGTACAGGGGCGTCTCTCCGGCCCAGTGGGGCTCTCGTTATAATAAAACTATAAAAGCTGTGGACTTCTGATGAGCAGCCACAGCAGTTTCCTACCCAGCTGGCCAGGGCGGCCAGGAAACCAGCGGGGGAGGGACGGGCAGGGCCTGCCTGGGGGAGCAGGGAGGGCGGGGCACGGAAGCTCCACATTCAATTAGTGAGTCTGTAACCAAAAACCCATCCATCTTTGCTGGCAGGTGGCTGACTGCGTTTCTATTATTAGCTGACAGGTGATGTCACAAAACCTGTCATGGGTCCAACTAGGGAATCCTCAGTGGAAGATAAATGAGAAAGGGGCTCGGGTTATAAACAGCAGTGCCCTCTGGGTGACCTCTAGCCACTGCAGGCCTGGGACAGATCAGCTCCTCTTCCTTCTCCCCACCCTACTTCCCGAAACCCCAGCCAGAAGCAGGGCACCGGGTTCGTGCTGTGTAAATTATCTTCCCAGCCAGGAGTCTGGCTGTACAGTCTGAAGTGTGTGAATGTACTTAACCTTCAATAACCTTTCCATTGTTTACTTTCGAGTATACATTTGTAGCTTCTGGCAAAAGGTAGGGACATCCTAGAGAGCGAGCCAGCCTCTATTAATGGAGCTTCAAGAGGTTGCATTCATTTTTTTTTTTCCTGAAAGCAAAGGAAGAAACTCTGGCAAGAGAGAAGAATTTTCCCTTTTTTATGAGCTGTAAATGTGAATACTTGTAAATAAGGGCCATTCTGAAATCACAGCCTGTGAGCCATGTTTCCAAGGAAGCGTGCAGGCTGCGAGCAGCCCGGTCCTCCATGGAGAACACCAGGCATTGCTCCTGCCAGCTCCTGTCTGTAGGGTTACCCTATGTGTTTATAAAGACTGCTTTTTCTCTCATCACATTTTTAAATATGCATTTCTAGGGTTTCACCAAAATCTGGTTTATAAGCATGAGTTAGTAAGTTCGTATTTTTAAGATGTCCACATCTAAACAGATACGTTACAAGGAAGTCTTCCCACGTCTCTAAGAACTTCCCAGAGTCACACTAGTCCTGGGCACCCAGGGAAGACATTGCACAAAACACAGCCTGTTGGCTGTCACCAGTACTCACCCCCGACCAAGTGGGACCTGGACAGACCTGATCTTGCTGGGATGGCCCTGCTCACAGCTGGGCATGGCTGTGCTCACACCTAGGGAAGGCCGTGCTCACACTTGGGCATGGCTGTGCTCACATGGCTGGGGCTGGCTGAGTAGGAGTGATAGACCCATCGCCTTTATAGCACACTCACTAGTGACCAGTTAACTCTGTTTCCTCTAAAGTACAATGAGGATGGTGGTCGCTCATGAGCCTTGGGCGCTGCACAGGAAAGGACCTGTAGATGTAGCATGTACCAGCAGCCAGGAATCCGCCGTGTGTTACAGTTCTGAAAGTGATCGTTGTAGACTGCACAAGGGCAGAGATGCTTGTCTTTTCTTGTCAGTTTGGTGCATGGGTGGAGCTCAGGGATGGAAAAGAGCCTGCAATAGAGTAAGCCCATTGTTTATTCAATAAGTGATTAGTAAATGAAACCAGTATCTATTGAACACCTAACATTCTAAGGACTGTGATCAATGATAAAGCAGGAGCTCTTAAAATACTGTTTTTCCTATAAGGTGAGGTTAATATTTTCAAGACTCCTTGCTTAAATTTTTAAAAGATCTACTCAGTTCTAAGCTATTCCTATAATGTAATTATAGTTAAAGCCAAGCCTTATAAATTCCGATAATGACATTAATGAATTCCAACCCAGTATTGTGTTGTGTAGTCACAAATCTGATTTCATAGCTCCAAAAATCACTGCTAATGACAGAGCATAGATACTTGTAGACATTTAGAAGGAATAGAAATACGAAAAAGGCCCGTTGTTATTTTGTATCATTGCTTTTCAACTTAAACTTTCATAAGTTAAAAAGTAAGACCAGAATTAATTTTTTTAAAACAGCACAATAGTCCATCAAATTCATATACCAAAAATTTCATCCCATTCCTTATTCTCAGACATTTAAATTATCTACATTATAAACAACACTGAAATAAACATTTTTCTGCCTAAAACTTCCTTTACATTAGATTATTTTCTTGGTATCATTACCCAGGAAAGTCTTTACCTGGTCAAAAGTCTAACTGTTTTATGGCTCACAAATAAAGTATGTTTCCAGAGTTAAACTTTTCACTACAAATAATGTGTAAGAAAAAAAACAATCGTAATGGTGTATGGTCAAGGATATTAACTAAATTTACTATGGTGGTCATTTTGCAATAGTTACAAATATCAAAATTATTACATTGTACTCCTAAAAATATTAGAATATGTCCATTATACCTCTATAAAAAATAGAAGAGTGACTAATTTTACTCAGGCCTGACCAGCAATGGGTATTGTTTTTTTTTTAATAGCTAGCAAGGATGATCTTACTTTGATAACCTTGTTTTTTCCCCATTTTCTCCTGGCACCTGCCACGATCAGCTAATTCAGGATCCTTGCAAGGTCCACAGACCCCCCAGTCAACTGGCAGTAATTCAATGGCAGAAGTTCCAGGTGACCTGAAGCCACCTACCCCGGCCTCCACCCCTCATGGACAGATGACCCCAATGCAAGGTGGAAGGTATGTTAAAGAGCTGTGAGCCTGCGAAATCAGACTTGCCTTTCTTTATTTTCTGCAGCAAACCTCACAGAGGACACAGATGGTGTTCCCTAGTGCGTTGTTACATGTTGACTGCTACTAGTTTTAGTGGTAATTGATTTGGATGGTTTTCACATTTACTGATTTCAAGAGCAGCTTGTTTTCTGAATACGTGTTTGGAGGCAACGCTTCCTGCTCTGACATTAAGTTTCATTCCTCCCGTCCGCTCAGAAGCAGTACAGTCAGTGTGCACGACCCATTCTCAGACGCGGGCGACTCGTCGTTCCCAAAACGGAACTCCATGACCCCGAGCACCCCGTACCAGCAGGGCATGAGCATGCCTGACGTGATGGGCAGGGTGCCCTACGAGCCCAACAAGGACCCCTTTGGCGGAATGAGAAAAGGTAGGTGCAGAGGCGCCTCTGCGTGGCGTGGTCGCGGAGCCTCACTCTGCCCTCCCACCACCATTCC